ATAGAACTGTGGACTTGGAAGTGAACATAAGAATCTCACCCAGTTATCTTCAAGAAAAAACTGTTCAACCATTCACAAGAAGTGGCTGCCTAACCTTTTCTCCAGAGAAGGAAGACCCATGGTTGTCAATAGAGATTGACTCTTTTACTGTTGCACAGATCTTTTCATCAGGAATTTTCCTCTTATTTTTAAACAAAATATTGGTAGTTGCAACTTATGCACATTATTTCTGGCCCTACTTTCCATGGTCATGAAAATAATTCCTGCCCATTTTCCTTATGGCACCCTTTCATAGATTTGATATCCTATCACCCTTCAATCTTCTTTTTTTGCAGGGTGAACAACCCAAGATCCTGTCCCCTATCCTCAGAGGGTGTATTCTTAAGTCCTTCTATTAACCCAAAGGTGCTTTTTAAAGAGGCAACTGGACTTTTTCTTTGAAGACATTTCACTGCTCATCCAAAAAGTTTCTTCAGTTCTGACTGGATGGTGCGGAATGGAAAGATTTATACTCCTTGCAGGCAGCTGGTCATTTGCATTATTTTAGAGAGTCGTTGAGGCCACCTGGAGGTTTATTTGTGTCATAGGATCACCTGAGTGGTGTGGAGCCTATCTGTCTCCAATCTACAACACAGTCCTTTCATCAGTTCCAAGAAGGCTCCACACTCATTTGCACTCATTTGCGTGCCGTCGCCCCAGTCCTAGGCCTTCAGCTGGGTTTTATAAAACCTTTTTGCTTTAGGCCTCTGCTGCCATGTGCAAAAAAAAAAGGTTCAATCAATCACTCAATTTCAACTTCTCACGAGAAAAAAAAAGATCTTACAAAGTTGGAATTGATTGATTGACTTTTTAGTCCCACCCAGTCTGCCATTACCATCACAGCCATGCCCACCCAATGGGCCACACCCCCATTGGCCACACCCAGCCAATGGGCCACACCCAGCCAATGGGCCACATGCACCTGGCACCTGATGATGCATAAGTTGGTTTTGGGTTGCAGTTTGGGCACTCAGTCTCTAAAAGGTTCACCATCACTGGTATATATCCTTCCATTTCTCACCATCCAGTCAGAGCTGAAGAAGCTTCTTGGATGAGAAGTGAAATGTCTTCAAAGAAAAACAAGAATGTCCAGTTTTCTCTTGAAAGAGCACCTTTGGGACAACCATGACCTGGATGACTGAGAATCTGCATAGACATTCCTTATATTAATTTCGTTGGTGTCTTCCAAACCCTTTCTAACCTGTCAATATCTTTTTGGAAATTTGAATGGTAAAAAATAATCCAGGTCTGGTTTCACCAGTGCAAACCAGAGGGGTATAAAGACATCACATGTCGTTCAGGTAGCACTACTATGATGCAGTCCAGAATTGCTTTAACACCCACGGGTGTCAAACTCGCTGTGTCATGTGACATGTTATGATGCATCGTGACTTTTTTTGCATTGCTGGAGCTGGGGTGGGCATGGCCTCTGTATGACGCAACCGGCCCGCAGGCCAGCAATTTGACACCCCTGCTTTAACCATTCTAGCAACTGCCTCACATTATTTGCCCATGATTAGCTTGTTGTCAATGACCATACCCTAATCCTTTTTTCCAATCTAGTGCTTTCAAGCCATCAATCCTATATCTTCTATACATTTCCTATTTTTTTTTTCCTCTCAGATGTAATGCCTCATGTTTCTTCCTATTGAAGGGCATCTTGGTCCAATCTTCCAATCTATCCAGATTAAATTACAATCCCATTCTGTTATCACGGGTATTGTCCAGACCTCCCTGCACATTTCATTACTTTTCAATTAGGTTATTAATAAAAAGGTTGAATGTAATAGTTAGGGCAGCTGGGTGATTTTTAGACCAGTCCCTCTTTTTTAGTCCTGGGAAGAATGCAAATGCCAAACCACTTCTGAAAATCTTGCTCGGAAAACTGCAAGATTTAAACAATCACTAGAAGGCACAAAATTTTGATGGTGATGTTCTGAATGAGACGATCATTCACCTTCTGCTACATGCTCATTCCATTTTGAAATTTTTTTTTTTCAACCGCACATTCCTGTGTCGCTGGTCTTTAAATTTTTCTTTATGTATTTTACTTTTGTTCCCTTTGTACACCACCTGACTCCCAAAAATTCTGCACTGTAAAAATGCAGCTTCCTCTTCACTCTTGTTATAATGAATGTGCCTAATCTGTTTGTAGGCTGTATATAACACTTTCCTCAATGATGCCCCCACATGTTTGGCACTACAATTCTCAGAATTTCCAGGAAGCCCGGCTGTTGGCTGCAGTTGCTGAACTTGATGACAATTTGTTTGTTTGCTTGATTACATTTCTAGAGTTACCTGACTCAACCAACTCTGGGTGGTTTACAGTAAAAGCAACCAATAATCACTCCGAAACCTCCAGGAGAGTCAAACCAGCTAAAAAAACCCTTGTTCTTAAAAAAGAACAAGATCTGGTCATGCATATCATCCAACAAAAAACCCTCTCAGTTCCTGGGGGCAGTGCGGAACCCTATTTTCAAAGTTCACATAGAGGATGACAAGGTCAAGGCAATGAAAACTTGAGGAGGGAGGGGGACTAATATTCCAGAGGACAGGTGTCATGGTAAGGAAAGCACGCTTAGATGCATTGTTTCAAAGATTGGACCTGTAGTATGCCCACTCTGCTTAATCTTACTGGGGAGGTGGGCAGAAAACATGTGAGAAAATCTTTAGGTAACCAGTCCATATGCCATGGATAGGCCATCACCAATACCTTGAATTGAACCTGAAGGTCATTGGATGCAATACAGATGTTACTGTGGTAGACACCAAACAGCTGCCTCTGAGGTTATAGAAAAGTTCTAAAAGTAAGGAGAGGAAAGATATGACAGAGAAAAGCAGGTTCCATCATGAAGACTAGAACAGTTAGAAGGATGAATGGCAATTATTTTAAGGAGGATTAAAAGGAGAAATAATTGAATGCACTGAAAGTGTGTGGGATATTCCTTTTGTATCCTGTACTGACTAGAGAAGGAGAGTCCCAGCAGGATAGCTGAGAGGACCACCAAGGCAGATAATAGAGATGTTGCAGGCCAGATGTGAGGTTAACTCAGATCTGAAGGATGAAGCAGCCACTGTGGAGAGTACAAAACTGCTTAACAGTTGCTTCGACATGGGAGGAGAAATGAGGCAGAGGCTGATTGCTGTCTAGATGGTAAGGTACCTCATGTAACAGAAAGAGGGGAACAAATTTAACTCAGTCAACTGCCCTACCAGAAACTGCTTTAGTTCAGTTACATAAACAAAAGTAAGGCAGCCTTTCATTAAAAGACAAAAACTTTGTCTACAACTGCAAAGCAGAAGTCAAAAAACAGAGCACGAAGCAATGAGAGGCTCCAAATGTAAAGAGGGGCTATTAGCAGTGTAGAGGAATTGCGGGCCAGGCACTCTTTGTTCCTGTCTCCCCCCCCCCAAAAAAAGGATAAGAGAATATCCCAAATTAATTAGAAAAAGTTGGGTTTGAAAGATGGAGGATCTGGGTGATGGCCAGAGAACATATTGCCTTTGGCTGAAGTATGGTATGGTTAATAATTGAAATAAGCAAGCCCAGAGGGCTTTAGTAACAAAGAGGTCTCCCCAGCTCAGCCTGGTTTCCTTTTCACCCATTTCCTTTGCAAACAAGAAAAAGCAAAATCTTCCACCAGTGCTTTCAAACGAGTCTTTCTTGGCAGACCGAGTTGGCACCATTAGAGAAGCAGTGTTACAGCTGTTTGCAGGCCCTAGATTGAATGAAGCTAAGCTATATGTTGCCAGCTTTGGGGGACAGACCATTGGCAGGGATCCTAGTCATTATTCCAGCAATTCTGGGCTGAGTTTTGAAAGATATTTATTGCACAATCAACACTGGAGTGAGCATACTCACTCTCTCCACATTTTCTGGTGTTCCTGACTCATCACCCATCCCTCCTGGTTTGTAAGGGCTTGGATTTTGTCTCTTCTCCTTCATGTAATGAAATAATTAACTGTACAAAGTCTCAGCTAGGAAGTGCCTGATTCAAATCTGGATTCCGTTATGGAGTCACTAGGTTGCCACATCCATATCAATGTTTCATGAATTAAATAAAGTTCCCTATTTAAATTTAATTTAATTTAGTTTAAATTAAATACAGTGTTACCGTAAATAACTGAAATAAATAAAAAATAAAGTCATAGTAATTTGCAACCTCCCTCACCCTGGGGCTGCCCAGAAGTGTTGGCTGTCCAGTCAGGACTATAGTCCTACTAGATTGGCTAGATGGGACTCAATTCAGATTTGTTCTTAGCACTTAGAACCAGAAGGGAAGAATTGGAAATTATGATATCCTCTTGAATTTTTTGGAGAAAAAGTGAGTCCATTGCACTTCCTTCCTTCCTTCCCTCCCTCCCTCCCTCCCTCCCTCCCTCCCTCCCTTCCTTCCTTCCTTCCTTCCTTCCTTCCTTCCTTCCTTCCTTCCTTCCCCCTTCCCCCTTCCTTTCCCTCTCCCCTTCCTGTCTGCTGAGTTAGCTGAGTCACAATGTACAGCCTGAGGATCAGCCACCAATTACTGAAGCCGTCTACCAAAATGAAGATGGTGGTCTTGGCTATATCTATGGCAGCAAGAAATTTGTTGCACCACAGTTTCATGCAAAAGGACAAAAAGGGACATTTCCATTTACCACATGGTCATCTAGGGATGAGAAGAATGGGATGGCAGCAACTCTAGATCTCATAGGGGAAAATGGGAGGGGGGAGTGGATAGCTGTGGCAGAGCAACCAGTGAAACAGGTATGGGCTTAAGCAAAGTTATAATGTCACTGAAGAGGAACAGAAAAAATCCAAAGATTAGCTATGGTCCTCCTTTCAGAGCATTGGGCTTTGGTAGGTGCCCAATAATACCACGCTGAAAGTTATTATCAATAATAAAGAAATTCTGATTCTGAGGATCTCGAGAATCTCAACTCCAAGCACACTCTGATCTCTGCCCATCTTTTCTATATCTTAGCCTGGGACCTCCCACTATGGAACACTTCCTTCTTCTGATGCCCCTCCTGGGTCTGGTGAGCAGTGAATTGCCATTTGTACAAAGAGGATTCTGGGACTTCTCCATGGACGATCCCTCGGTCCAAGAAGAGGAAGAGGCTTCTGGGATCCTCCCTACTTCCAGTGGATCTGAGGCAGAAGACATTCCTTTCTACCCAGGCCTCTGTCCCTTTGGCTGTCATTGCCACCTAAGGGTGGTCCAATGCTCTGATCTGGGTGAGTCCCTTTCCTGAGGGGGAGGGAAAGATTACAGCAGTTGGGCAAGATTGTGATCTAGCATTTATTCTGGAGATCCTGGTGCTATGAACAGAGGTAAATGTCCATGGTTGGAAAATTTAAACCTAAGAAACAAAAGAGTTTAAAATATAAAACAATTGTTCCAAAATTATTGTTCCAAAAACAATATTAGAACATAGAATATCGGTAATAGGGTTGGCAGGGACCTTGGAGGTCTTCTAGTCCAACCCCCTGTGCAAGCAGGAGATCTATACCATTCAATCTAAATGGGTATCCAATTGTCAAATGCCAGAAATCAGGCAATCCAGGCAGTTCAAATGAATATAATGGTTTATTGTAAGCTTAAACTCTCTACTAGAATCTGAACTACTAAAAGTCAAAGCAAATTGGCAGTAGATAAGAGTCAATGGAATTCAAGGTGGGCTGAACTTAGATCTCTTGTGGGCGTGAAGAGACTTGAGACTGATGACACATTTGACCTTTCCCTCAGGCTCAACCTGGTCACCGCCCTATACCAATTTTTTTAAAAAAACCTCCAGTGATGGAGCACTCACAACTTCTGGAGGCAAACCATTCCACTGGTTAATTCTTCCCACAATCAGGAAATTTCTCCTTAGTTCTAGATAGGTTTTTAGCAGATGGATGGATGGATGGAAGGAAGGAAGGAAGGAAGGAAGGAAGGAAGGAAGGAAGGAAGGAAGGAAGGGAGCACAGATAAGAGCAACCATCTGGAATTGTTAGATCTTTCCATCAGGCAAAGTATTATCAAATAAAGGAAACTGACATACTGCTGAAGTCTGCAATGCCTCTCATGAATCTTGCTAGAACTTCCCACGACAGCTACCATTCTGGCATCCTTTTCCTTGCCCCCACTCTGTCTGTCAAATAAGCTTCTGAGTGTAAACAAAGACCTCTTGGGCAGACTCTAAATGCAGTTGAAGAATAAAAGAGGAAACTGTCTATGTGGTTTATCCATTGTGCTAAACCACATTGTAAATTACAGTTGATTGGGTTCACGCCAAAGTAGAATGTCATTAGCTAATTTGTGTCTTTTTTTTTAACTAGATGAGCTATATCAACAAACCAAGTCATGATAATCCATAAGATGTTTACAAATTGTGGTCAGAGCATATCTTTATTAGGAACCAGCATTTTCTAGCCTGCAAAGTAGGACATGCTACAAGACATCCTTGTTACTTATTTCACAGTTATTATTATTAGCATTTGTGCTAAATAATGTTCTGAATATATAAGACATATGGCCTATATGTACAAAGAGAGATAAAGTTCTTTCCCAAACTCTTCTCAACCAGTAAAATATAATAAATGGTGCAACTACACAAATAAAACCACTCTCAGACTAAGAAAAAGCACATACTACAATAAAATCAAAATTGAGCTGGCAGATTTATTCAAACCTTAAGCAGTGATAGAAAGATTAGAAATAAGAGAGATTAGAAATAATCTGTTGCCTTGAAAATAAAATTAAAATAAAATAAAGTCTAAGGTTAACTAGCTAAGACCTAGTTAACTAGTTGCCTCTTTGGCAACAGCCTAAGAGTGAACATTGTTCTTTCCAAAATAAGATTTGTTGAAATGAAAGGGATAATTTTACAAGAATTCCAGCAACTAAAATATTTTAGAAACAATCTCTGCATTTGTTAGGGTGGAGATTTTGGGTTTCTGCTGATAAGGAAAAACCTCACAGCTGATTGTTAACATTACAGTCTCCAGAACTGTCTTTACAATCTGGAAACTATCTGTTATATTTAAATTTTAAAGAAGATGAACCTAAGATTAATTTATTAATATCGTTGCAAATGGAACAAGGGGGCACTTGAGCTTCACTTCTCTGCACTTGCTCAAAGTTGCATTTCACATTCAAATATATTTCTGTGAAATACATGGCAGTTGAGTAAAGTTTCAAATTATTTGTTCCACTTATTTCATTTCACCATAGTTGGTCTTCCCTTACAGGGAATCCACACCTTGCCTTGGCAACAGAAAAAAGTTTCGGATGAGGGTGGGACTAAAGCTGTCCTGATGCTCTTTATTTTCCACGTGTTTCTCAACTGAATGGGTGTTTTGCAGGTGTAAAAAGTGCAGGATTTTATAAATCATAGCTCAGAGTTGAGACGAGGCCACCATCCAGAGGATAGTAGGTTCAAATAGGATTACCAGGCCATCCCAGTGACTGCTATTGAAATACTAGTAAAAAAAAAAGAAAAAGAAAGAAAGGGTGTCTTTTTTTAAAACAAAAAACAAAAAAAACCTTTATTCAATTTTTTAAATTAAAGAGATAGAAACTAACAAAAACTAATAATTATGATAGAAAGTCCTGCAAGAGACTGATTGTGCTGTCACTCCTTTTCCTTCTCATACCCTAATAAATCAGGGGAGAATCTGCCTGAGCGGCTTCCTAATGTTATCTCATTTTTCTGGACTTATAAAAGGTTTTAGCCCCCTTCCAAGGTTAGAACAATGTGCATATGTGTATCTAGGTACATACATGTGTATGTATCTCCTTTAGCAATGATAGGCAAATTTCAAGGTTACCAATTCTGATTTTCAGTTTCATTTTTAACTAAAGCTCCCTCCGCTCCACCCCCAACAAAACCCTTTAACCTTGGTTGAAATAGATGCACTTAAAAGCAAAGGATTTGGAGTCCAGAAATTTGTTTTCATGAGCAGAACTGAATGGAGCTGACAGTTCTGTCTCTTAATTCCAATCTATTGATTTTGTTGCTGCTACAGTCAAATAGTGGGGACTCAGATATTCTTATTACAGCTCACCCAGAGATTTATCAAGAAATTCAGATTCAATCTATCTGTGCTCTTCAGATTATACAAAAGGGCACACTGATTCCAAAGCATCTACAGGTAATCCTTGATGTACAAACGTAAATCGAGCCTGGAGTTACATATGTACGTTGAGTATCATTAAGGCAATCATTAAGTGGACCACTAGGTGACCATGACTGAATTTACAACCTTTTTGCAGGGGTTGTTAAGCAAATGCCTTGATGATTAAATGAACCCATTTTCTTCAATCTGCGGCACGGTTTTTTTGGTTTTTTTTTGCCAGAAACTGGACATAAGTGCCAGAAACAGGCAAAAAACACTAAAAATTGCAGTAATGGGACTGTGGGTGCTGCAAACTGCCATAAATGCAAGCTAGTTGGCAAGTGCCCAAAATGTTATCACGTGATCACAGGGTGTGTGGCCATTGGAACTCCAGAAGTGGGATGCAAGCAGCTCTGGGGAGGTCTATCGTAGCTTTGAATGGTCACTAAGTAAGGACTACCTGTATAATCTAATACAAATTACAGAGGAGGATGTGTGAGGGGCATATTAGGGATAGCCAAGTCACCAGACTCAGAATGTGAAGCAATTTTTCCCGTTCCCTAGATTGAGATACAGCCAGAATCACCCAAGAAAATTACTTAAACAAGGTTCTCAAACAATAAATGTGAGGGAACATCTTTATTTTAATGTTAACTTTTCAATGACTTTTGTGTGTAATGCGCAGCTGTATATCTGAATGCATTATTTTGACACAGTTCTATCTTCTTGTATAAGAAGAAAAGGGTGCCTAGGAATGAAATTCTGATTGCCAGATTATCTGTGTATTTGTGAAACTCACAAAAGGCTTCAGAGCAGGTAATTTTTTTTTTTTTTTAAAACCTCTATTTTGCTTCCGGTTTTTTGAAACAGTCACTTGCAGTAGTTTATTCATTCTTCATTGAGCCAGCCCATGAATGGCCTTGTTTGAAGCGGTCAAGGTAAAATAAAATACAAGTCTTCACTATTGATAATTCTGAGCTGTGCAACAGGATTTCTTCATGGAGTTGTGAGTTAGGCCATCTTAATCACTGTAAATTAATAGTTAAGACTTAGAGAATAAATTAGAGACAGACAAGCAGACATTCAACAGATGCAGTTTTTGCAAGAATTTAATGTTCATTCCAGACAAGGCATCTCCAATGCAGTTGATAAAGAAAACATCTCTACCACATACTTTTAACACAGCAGCAACAATTCTGTGAATATTTTTCAGGCATGTGTAGAAGCAGTGTCTATCCCTCATCCCTCTTGTAGCCTTGAATAAAAGCTTGCTTCTGGCACATTAATCATGTGTGAGCCACATCAGATTTACCAAGTGTGACTTAGCATTGTGTGACTATAAACAGGGTAAACAGATGAATGCAGTATGTGGGCAGTGTCACAGCGAATCCACATGAGGATATTGTGACTGTAATACCGGTAGCAGCCCATTATACAGCATGGTTTATTGTGATCCAGTGATCAGATCAGAATAAGACTGTTGTGCCAGGGCTCAGGACTGTATTTCACTGAGCTAATGAAGAAGTGACTCAGCTGCCGTATTGTTCCACCCACGCAGAGAGAGGAATTCCTTGGAATGCTGACATGTTTTTGTTTTAATCAGAACCCAGGCACAGCTTGTCAGTCCAGATCATAAGAATTTTTTGGGAGGGAGGGAGAGAGGGAGGGAGGGAGGGAGGAGGAGGAGGAGGAGGAGGAAGTACAGCCAGTTATGGAAAAGCTGATGTGGAGTTCCGGATCATAATGTGAGTTGGGAATATGCCAGAGGATGCTTCTGCATGGATGCATTTCCCATCTCCAACTGCTGCAAAATATTTCAATGCTGGCCATGCAAACATCTTCGTTCCTGCTCAAAATGCTGAGATCAGAGCTCTCACCAGTTGAGCACTGCAGGAGAGCCAGAACTGGCATTCTGCCAGTGGCCCATTTTCTGAGCAAAATAGCTCCCAAAGCAACGCACATTTTTTTTGTTCTGTTCTAGACAGAAAGAGGACAATCAAGTTGCTGAAGGCATTTCTGTTTCATCTACACCAGTTCTGGCTGGTGGTGGCAGTGTCCCTCCAAACTCTCAATTGGAGCTCTGCCCCCTCCCTCCCATCAGTTTCTTCCATGCAATCCATTTTTGGCTGCAGAGAGCAAGGCAGGAACATGATGTTTTCTGCATGCAAGGCATTCGCCCTCTGCCCTTGAGCTATATACCATCCTTAAATACACAGTTCCTCTGTAAAATGGCATGAAGCAGCTTCTCAAGACAATGCAGGGGAGCCCAACTCTTGAAAGTCGCCAGGCCATCACTGTTCTCAAGGAAACAGCAAATCTTGCAAAGACAGCTTATGATTTCCTATGGTTCAGTGGCTTACAATAGCCTCAGCCAGGTACAACTGAGCAACAGTACTTGGTGGATTGTATGTACTTTGCATATTGATGCAGAGCTAACTGTAAGGCAGTATGATACTCTAAAAGGTGGAGCTTCTAATCTTCATGCTCTCGTTCTTGTGGACATTTGCAACTATCAAGTTGTGAAAGTGATGTTGCTGTGCTGGACTGTCTCAACTCACTGGCTGACAGATGTGTGGAAAACCCAAACACTGTTGCTTTATGTCATACATTGTGAGTTAGCAAGAAACAATTGCAAGCAAAGGGAGCAAAGAAACTGGAAAGCATGCTGGACCACAAGTGCTGCCCCTTTTTGGTTCTCCTGGCCATTCATGATGCTCTACCTCACACACACACACATCATTGATTACGCTTCATGATAAGGGAGAAGCGGGAAAAGCGGGTGGAATACTTATTGCTAATTTATTTATACGGCTTGCAAGGTTTTTAAAATTCACTGATAAATTGTAAAACAAGAACTTGAATATTTTTCCTCCTTGCTTGGGTAGATAATCTTATTAATGTGGGCTGTGATTAATGTGTGGGGCTGAATAGCCAAGTGCAAAAGAAGCGAGGGCTCCAGAGCCTTAATTTCAGCAGGTGCTAAATTCATTCTCTTCTCTGGGATTCACAGTACAGGGCCCCGTCCACTTTGGCTTTCCAGCCTTGTCTAGCTGGTCCTGTTTCAGCCTGGCCAGGCCTATCTGCCCTGGATATCCCTTCATCTATCTGTGTAGCCAATCTTGACTTTTCTGACTTGCCTGTTTCTGTTTTTTCCAGGTCTCAAGCAAGTGCCTAAGGAAATCTCGCCAGACACCACATTACTAGATCTGCAAAACAACCACATTACGGAGCTGCGCAAAGATGACTTTAAAGGGCTCTTTCGCCTCTATGTATGTACTGCCAAAGACCCCTCCCCACTTCTAATGGATATAAGTAGGACAGGAGAACCTAGCTGGGTTCACTCTGAATATACAGTAGCTTCATTCAGGTGTAGCACTAAAATCTATTTATTCTGCCAGGACTGGATCCTGGAACACTGAACATCTCAACATGAATGGCCTTCACTATTTGCAACCTCCACTTCTCTCAAACACCTGGGATTATGTTTCCTGGAAACCTTGAGCCACTAGCTGTATTCTTTATCATGATACTCTGCTAAAAGATTTCTGCAAGTCTCACTCCATTCCTTAAATTGTTTTTTTCCCAGTGCAAATAATTGCATCTATCTTGTCTACAGTATTGCTCCTTTCTTTATATGATTACCATCTGCAAGCAGACTTGGGAAGTATGCAGATGTCTTATTTGTACCAATGGGAATCTGATACCTAATTTTTCTGCAGGACTTCCTCGCAAATTTCTCTAGCTGCAAAAATGGGTTGCCAGGATAATAATAGATTCCACCTTCTTACATCTATGTCAGCACATGCTTAAATGCTGCTCACATGTCATCTCTTTCTATGACTCTACCCACAGGCTTTGGTATTGGTGAACAATAAGATCTCCAAGATCCATCCAAAGGCTTTTAGCCCTCTGATTAAGCTGCAGAAACTCTACATCTCCAAGAACAACTTGGTGGAGATTCCTCCTAACCTGCCCAACTCCTTGGTGGAACTCCGGATCCATGAGAACAAAATCAAGAAGATCCCCAAAGCTGTCTTCAATGGGCTCCACAATATGAATTGCATTGGTGAGGCATCACCACCTCTCCCCACTTTTCTTTCCCAAAGGCCCGCCTTGTATTTGCTCCTTTTCTTTAGAAACATAGACACAGACCCCAATGAATGGTTCTCTAGAATGAAGAAAATTGCATCCAATATTGTGTGACATGTTGGTTGGTCCGTTAAAAAAAAATATGGTTAATAGCAAGCAAGACTAGACCAAAAGGCCACTGCAGCTCCCAATGTTACCCAGTGTTTTGGAAATGCAAATATACATTAACAGTCAATTTATATTCTGACCTTATTTGCCTTCCTGGCATACGTTTTCATAATCATCTTCATTTGCATAAATTTATAGCATGCATAGAGTGATATGCACAATACAGTTGAGAAAAAGCACAGAATGAACATTAACAAATCAGAGTCAATTGGCTACATTTGCATAGAGGTCCTTTTCCATTGTTCATGTGAACCTATGAGCAAATAAAAAAAATCAAGAATAGAGGGCTCAGAAATCCATTTTTTTCACCTTTCCAAAGAACTCTACCTTTGCAAGCCAGCAATTTGGGAGGAATAAACTAAATATTGGCTTCAGATGAAGTTTGAAAGTGTTCGTTTCCAGTTTATTTACTTACTTAGGAACAAAGCATGAGCAAAAGAACTGTGGGAATCTGCATATACTTTTCTTCTTAACTGTGTTCATTAAGTATGTTTGAGAATAGATTAAAGCACAATCCACGGAAAGTTGAGCTTTTCAGTTTAGAATGTCAAATACATTCACAAAATTATTCTACTGCCTCCTGAAAGGACTTACATAGGCCTGGATCAGCTTTGAAAAACTTCTAAGATTTTAGAATATGTTAAGCTGAGGAGTTCTTCCCCCCTCCCCCAAATTTGACTCATTCAAAATACGATGCCATAATTAACAATATCCATTGTCTCTTTCAAAATTCCATCAAGATTTTTAGGGCCTTTCCCTGTAACTGAGTTTGTTATCTACTCATCTACATCCCCAGTAAATGTTTGTTCCCACCTCCTCTGCTAATCCCTATCCTGTATCTATTGCATTGGCTCCAAGTCTGCTCCAAATGATAATGCCCTAAATATACACATTGATCAAACCCTTCAGCATTGTCAACAGGCAGGGAAAACATCTGTCAGACTCAGCATGGCAGCAGGTGTGAGATAGGTGTGACCTCAGGGATCTATTAGGCATCACTAGACTACTTTGTGTACCCCTTCTTCCATGTCCCTTTCAGGTGTAACTCCAGCTGAATTACAGGTTTTAAAAAAACAAATAAGAATCACGAAGGGAAGTGAATCACATTTAGCATTTCCTGGGAGAGCGGAGCACCATTGCAGCATTGCATGAATCCAGCAAGGCTATAACAATAGAGAACATTCTTAGAATAATATCAGATGAATGGTCTACCCCTATAGCGCAAATCTGTTGAATTACCTACACAGTCATGGTCTCTACACTCTCCACAAGCATCAGACTCCAGGGCCCAAACTCGGGCAAAGCTAGTTAGGCATTTGACACAGCACAGCTAGCTTAATAACTTTATATACTGGGATGAAGACACCTTAAACAGTTGACTGTCCTCTGACAAGATGGAAAATAGACACCAATTCTTATCAATCCCAGTGGTTTAATTCCTACATTTCTCCCTTTCCCCTTGTGTCTATGGAGATTATCAGTCATCCAGGTCACGATTGTCCCAAAGTTGCTTTTCCAAAGGCAACTGGACTTTCTTGATTTTTTCCCCTTGAAAACGTTTCGCTTCTCATTCAATAAACTTTTTCAGAACTACCATATTTCCCCGAAAATAAGACTGGGTCTTATATTAACTTTTGTTCCAAAAGACGCATTAGGGCATATTTTCTGGTTAGGTCTTATTTCCAGGGAAATACGGCACTAGATGTGTCTGGCTGGCTGACGATCTTAACTGGGGCTTATTTTTGGGTTGAGGCTTATATTATGAGTATCCCGAAAAATCATACTAAGGCTTATTTTCCAGTTGGGTCTCATTTTCGGGAAAATACGGACCCTGCCTTTATTACAACTGCAAGACCACTTGGAGAAAAATGCCCAAATTGCTCCACCAATAAATTTGTTTAAAAATGCAAACGATTCAAATTGATTTAAAGCGTAGAATCATATATACATATCTTATTCTGTTAACATCACCGTTGCATTTAATGAACATTTAATTGCTTTCCCATAAGCTTTGAGGGTGGAACTGCGTGTTTCAGGCAAGCAAGTACAATTTGCTTCTTCCAAGAAGAAGAAAAAAATGGGTTCAAGAAAGGGAAATTTGGAGCTGAGTTGGAGGAGGGTGGGAGGAGATGGGCCTTACTAATCCATAATCAAATAGAAACAGATTGTACTTTTGGCTCCTAAAGACTGATCACGATGTGCAGTATCTCTCTTACCACGTTTGTAGCCCTTTTCATTAATTCTTCCTGTACATGGCTACCTTAGAGAGAGAAGGAGAAGGACACATATATAATTTTTTTAAAGATATGCCATAAGTTGCAGAAGAGAGCTTGGGTGAATCTGGATCTGATAAAGCTGAACACTGTTGTTTTATATGAAACTACTTCTTTTTGCAGAAATGGGTGGGAATCCTCTGGAGAATAGTGGATTTGAACCTGGTGCCTTTGATGGCCTAAAACTGAACTACCTGAGGATCTCAGAAGCAAAGCTCACTGGTGTACCCAAAGGTGATAACTTCTCCATATTCTTTCTTCTCCATATCTACCTTTCTTCTCCATATCTACCTCTTAATAAAACCCAGGGCTATGGCTTCTCTCAGCTTTTAATCCCAAAGGTAGTGCAGAACTATTTTGTTTTTTTCAAAGAATACTGAGAGATATCAGCTGAATTCAGGGACACAGCAGTGACACAGGAAGGAGACCATATTTTTAAAAAATAAGACACAGAGATTTTCCCTTATTCTTCCCCTAGAACTCTGGTCTCTTCTCCCCAAAATACATCTTTCTTTTTCCTGCAAGGATTCTTTTTTTTTCTTTTTAGTTCCCTAATTTCAGATCATATGGGATGGGGAGAGTTTAATGTTAGACTATATATAGTAGGATGAGAAGTATTTAGTATTAGACAACTGAGAGACAAAACCTGCAATTTCCTGGAAATCATATACAACTCGACTATGAGGTATTGATGAGCCATCATAAGTAGTGGAGGTGACACAGTGAATGGCATAGTAGCCATTGTCCTGATGAAGTTTTACAAGAAGTCCCATCTTTTCTGTTGCTTTCCATTGGGAGCAGAACTTTTTCATATATGCTAAATAGAAATGGAATTCTTCTCCTGTTGAGGAAAATTTCTCCTTTTCTGTAAACCAGTACAAATGTTGTGGCCTCAGAGCATTTCAGAACGCATTACTGCTATTGTATATCCCATTTTATTTTGTTTGCAGCATCATTCTCAGTTCAAAACATTAACGGCAGGGTTCATTCAACAAAACAAGCGTATTTGGTTAATGATGACTCAATGCTATACATGAATTCAGGCCATTGAGTTAAGCCAGGGAACTATAAAAGTTGGCTAACCATTGTTAGTGCATTGTGTAATTAGAGTTTCTCTCTTTTTATTGTTGCTTTATCTGTTTTGAAGCACTCTGGAATGCTGTGGATTTTAGAAAGACTAATATTTTCCTACTCTTCTCCAACCAGACCTCCCTGAAACCTTAACTGAGCTACATCTGGACCACAACAAGGTCCAGGCAATTGAATTAGAGGATTTGATCCGCTACTCCAAAATCTACAGGTAATAGGAGAGTCATTCTTGAAGAACTTGCCAGGATTGTGCAGATGAAATCTGGGGCAAAATAGGAAGGTCACTAATCTCCAGATGTTACAGAGCAACCTCTCTCACCATTGGCTATACCAGAGGTAGGCAATCCTGGCTCTTTTATGACTCGTGGACTTCAACTCCCAGAATTCCTGAGCCAGCATTCCTGGGCTATACTATCTGCAGTTTTTATGAGTCGCAACATCTGGAGAACTACAAATTAGGGTATGACTGAGGTACAAGGCAGTTGATTTCAGACTTTGCAACATAAAGATGAGAAATGAAAATAAGCTTGAGTATTTTTAAAAAAAGGAAATTATCCTACTTCAAGTCTGTCCACAATTTCTCATTGCCCATTCTAAACAAGGAAGCCAAAGCAGTTCCTTGCTTCAAAGTTAGTTGCACAGGAAAAAAAAAAAGGGGGGGGGGAATACAATAGTAGGAAGCAAATTGTGTTTTATCAAGCTGGCAAAAATGTGTTTAGAAAATAGGAAATGTTCAGAGTGAATATATAGTAAGAGTTATTTTTTAAACATGGAAGGAATGTTCCTTTTTTACTGGTCATCCTCACGATACTTTTGATACAAGTTTTAGTTTCCCTAGAGATGCAATTATGGTTCACTTTTTAGCATGATGTAACAATAATACTTTGTCTCTGGCCTTGAACCTTCTTTCCTCATTTCCTTTTCCTCTGGCCTTGTAATTCCAAGGTCTTTGCAGGGAATCACTTCTTGTTGTTCACAAAACCAAATGCCATACAGTATATGGAGTTAGAAGGACCAAGGGAGGAGATCCACTGAGTTTTAATTTTTGTGCACATATAGCAAAGTTGTTCCATCTCTTCCATAACTTGGTAGCTGACAGAGTGATCCTATCTTGGAGGTTTCTGCCTAGATGCCCCCCCCCTCATGCTGGGGACAATCTGCCCAGGTGCCAAATATGGGCCCAAAGTCAACTTCCATCCTCCTAATTAAAACATACTACAAATTATAGCTAAAACGGAGGGTTATAGATTTTCAAGAAGCATGTGTTTAAAGCCCAGATTATCTATAAGAAGCAAACAGGAAGTGCAAAGAGAAAACAAATGTACAGTATTCAAAACACAAAAATAGAGCTTTTCACCAGCTGGTGCCCAAAAGATACAAACAACCATTTACTCCCTTGTTCCTGACTTGCAATCCCTACAGTTGGGCCACCAATTCTGCTTCAGCATTTAAGAGGTGCATTTCTTTAAAATGTTTCACCAAATAAGAAAGGATAAGAAGGGGAAGAGAGAGGAGAGGAGAGGAGAGGCATTCTGTTAAAATGAAGGAGAGCCCCCACTAACTACCTGGGTAGGCAGAACTAGATATTGATTCATTCCAGTTCTCTGTTTCTAAACCTACACCTGTAACATCAGTCATCTCCTACTAGTGTCAGGGAGATCTGGACTGCCTCCCTCTCGTTTTCCTTTTTCCTTTTTTTTTTTTTTTTTTGCCACAAAAGCACTCCTTCAGAATCTTTAACTGGCTAAAATGTTAAAATGTCTGGGGGTTTAAAATATCCACCCAGCTCAGCTGTGGTCTCCCTAGCAACAAGCTCCTGAGAAACTTCAACTGCCGTTCCCCCCCCCCCTTCCCACAGGCTGTAGGTGAAAGCATTTTCAACCGTGCTCAGTGATTAGTCAGGATGCTGCTCATGACCTTGCTCCTCCAAGCTAGAGAAGAACTGCAACTGTATGAGGTCATCATAAGTAATCTTCCATGGTTCAGACTAGCAGAAGGTATTCCAAGCATGAAATGGGAGGTAGAAATATGCAAATGTGGAGCCTACTACAGCACAGCATGCTCAATATGGTGTATAATTAAGTGTGACCATGTGCAATTGTGCCAGCTGGTTTCTTTCCTTTCTCCCCTGTCATGGATGACTTAAAACAGCCATCACCAAGCCATTTTAAGTTATTGAGTGGTCTCTATATCACATCTAAAACAATCAATGAACAAAGATGGTGGCTGTGTGAATGTGATAAACAAATTGAACATGCAACCTCAAGTCAGAGAATGATAAAATATTTGTTTTTCACCATATTTTATTATAGAGTATAATTTCAAAGAATTAAAACAGTTTCTAGTCAGATTGAGAAGACAGGCCTGGAAAATCAACTGGTAAAAATTCAGTTTTCTAAATTTTTCAATTGTTTTCTGTTAATCTGATAAAGGAAATGACTTAATAACTGAAGTAGAATCACTCTTAGAAATAGTCATTAAGTTGTCCAGTGAGGCGAATTTTAGCCTATCCTCCAATTCATAAATTTATATTTGGAGAACTAATGTTGTTCTAAATAATATAACATAGATACAATAAAGTCAGTGCTTCATCTGAGAAAGATGAAAAAAATAGGAGGTGGAGTTTTTATTATTTTATTATATAAGCTTCACACCTATTTAAACTAGGCCTAAATATGATCTCACCGTTTTAAGTTCAATATCTATTTCAGCCACTAGAGGGGGAAAGAGCTATATTTGTTAGCAACTTTTTAACGGGTGTTCTAATTCCTTTCCTTTAAGCATTTTGATCTGAAGAGACAAACTTGATCAGGAAAGTCTTTTCTAAGAATTTGCTTTCCCTGCCTCTCAAGAGGCCATTCTTTTCATCATTTCTATTGTATAAAAATCAGACAAAGCCCAAAAGATTAAGGTCCTTGATTCAGGATTGAATCCCTCCACTTTTGATTTTTATGCATTGATTTTGGGCTGATTTGGATGCAATGACAGGAGAAGAAAGAATTTTCTGAGTTTTAAAAAAATGTTAATAGCAGCTTGACTGCAGTGCTAGAAAAAGGATTTTCATTTTTCCCTTTGGGTTGCTCTGCATATTGAATTACTACCCAAAGTTGTTACTGCCCCATAAGATCAAACTCAGTGCCCATTGGAGGCCCACATGCTTTACTGCATGGGGCATCCTAGCCTTTGATGAGGTACAGTTAAGACAACTGCTCAGGGACATGATTTTATCCTCTGCTTTCCACGTTGCATTTGTGTTCCTCCTTGGGGACCAGCTCCTAATGTTTGTCAATATTTTGGATGAAGACATTCAAGTTGAAGCCATACTCAGAAAGTCTGGCAGTTTTTCCAGCCAGAAAAGTCACTTATCTTAACGCTGGCCTTATTTCACACAAAATTGCACACAGAGCATTAATACCTCTGGAGCACAGCTTTCAGACACGCAACTCTTGTAAACCCCATGTGTATTCTGAGGTGGTGGTACAGCACTATTTTTCAACTCAGCAACTTTAAGATGTGTGGACTTCAACTCCCAGAAAACCCAGCCTGCATTCCCTAGCCAGAAAAAACACTGTGGTACAGTAAAAAGGAAGCTTCTGTTGCGTTCGCTTCTGCTTAAATAGGCTCCAAATAGCATCGCTATCCAGACTCTAGAAATGTGAACTTTTATATCTTACACCAAACAGCAGCCGAAATCCTTCTGCGTCTCCTTCTCACCTTTTCCTTATTGGTCCACTTATCCAATCCATAGCTGCAGTTGGTGTGGCACACCCAGACATCTGCTTGCTGCATGAAGGAATGAGGTAGCTGACTGGAGAGAATCAGACAGAAGATGGCAGCGTAATCATACATTTGTTTCCTGCTTCATTTGGAAATTGAAATATCTGTACACAAATGCACAGACTGATTGGTCTTTGTTTTCTCATTCATCACCATCTTCATCTGTCATCTATAATATTTAACTATATTGCCTGAGCTTTGATGTGCAATCTGTAATACAGACAGACACATCTTTGATGGGTAAGCTGCAAAAAAGCAACCAGGACCAAAAGAAATCTGGTCTTCAAATGTTACTTTCCCTTGGCTCACAGAGTCGAAAGGGTGGACTTTATCGAAGGACTTGGGACTTGCTCCTGTCCACAAACTTTATGCTGTTTATTAGATGGAAACTGAATTCACACATAACCAGTAGGAGCCAGGATGGTGGAGATGCTAGACTAGGGCAACTAGTTTCAATTCTGTAACTCAGTTAGAGAAACTACTTAAGTGATTTTGGGTCTGTCTTCTAGCTCTCCCTTCTCCAAAACTTTATTAGGGGAAAAGTAAGAGTGCTGTACAGGTAGTCCCGGACTTACAACCATTCGTTTAGTGACCATTCAAAGTTACAATGGCACTGAAAAAAAAGTGACTTACAACTAGTTTTCACGCCTACTACTGTTGCAGCATCCCCCTGCTCATGTGATCAAAATTCGGATGTTTGTCAACTGACATGTTTTTTAACAATTGCACTGTCCTGGGTCATGTGATTACTATTTGTAATCTTCCCATCATCGGAATTCCATCTAAAATTTTGTAATCAAAACAGGGCAACTGCAACAAAGATTCCATAGCTGAAGGAAGGAAAAGTAAGAAAAATCTTTACTCTTCCATTTCATGGCTTGTCCCCACCTCTGCAGTTTTAGACTTCCAGTAATTTGAGAAAGAATTTTGGGGCAGAGTGGTGGGGGGAACAAGGAAAAACACCTCATTGGCAAAGTGAATGCAAGGAAGTGAGGGCTGATCTTCTTCTGCATTGTAAAGTACACAAGTTGGCATCACACTAAATCTCCACTTAACTTTATATCCCCTTTCTCTCCTCATAGATTGGGCCTCGGACACAACAATATTCGCATGATTGAGAATGGCAGTCTTGCTTTCCTGCCTATCCTACGTGAGTTGCACTTGGATAACAACAAGCTCTCAAGAGTCCCCCCAGGATTGCCTGATCTCAAGTTTCTGCAGGTAACCAATAAGATGCAGTTCTGTGGTGAGAAAAGTAAGGTCCTGCATTTAGACAGGAAAAACCAAATCCACAGGTATGAAATAAACAATACCTGGCTCAGCAGTAGTTTTTGTGAGAAGGGTCTACGTACTCTGCTTAACCATGAGCCAGCAGTGTGCTGCAACTGCCAAAAGAGCCAATGCAATCCTAGGCTGCAACAACACAAGGCTAACGTCAAGATAATGAGAAGTGATAGTACCACTCTTTATAGTACTAGTAAGGCCACGCTTGGAATACTGTGTCTGTTTCTGGTCACCATCATATAAAAAAGATGCTGAGATCCTAGAAAGAGTCAGATAGAAGAGTAATAAACACGATAAGGGGTCTAAAAGCTAGACTATGTGATGAACAGTTCAGGGAACTAAGTATGTTTAGCCTAATGAAGGGAAGGCTTACGGGTGACATGATGGCCATCTTTTAATACTTGAACTGCTGTCACAGGGAAGAGGGGGTTAATTTATTCTCCAAAGCACATGAGGGCAGGACAAGAAGCAATGGATGGAAGATCTTTAGAGGAAGATCCCGCCTGGAACTAAGGAGAAGTTTCCTGACAGTAAGAACAATTAGTCAATGGAATGGCTTGCCTCCTGAAGTTGTGGATACTCCATCACTGGAAATTTTCAGGAAAAGATTAGACAACCGTTTGTTCGGGATGGAATAAGGACTCCTGCCTTGGGTGTGGGGTTGGATGAGAAGACTTCCCAGGTCCCTTCCAGCCCTATGATTCTATGACCCTATGATCTAGGTTTCAGGAAGGACATGGAATCTAGGAGATCATACTTCAAACTTCAACAATGAGCAACCTTAGAAAATTGATTGGGATGACATGACCCATAGATATCTAGAACTCTGTCTTCTTGATTCTGTTTTGAAATACCTATAGAAAACATTCAAATGGAACAAGACATTGCCATCCTTTACCAATCCATATATTGCCTTTTTGGTTCCAAACTGTCTTTCATGTCCCTTTCCATAGTGAATCTGGCTCTGTTGCACTGCAAGTCCAGAACTATGAACCCAGAACCCAGCAAACTGATTTTGCAAATTCTCTGTGGTGCATAAAAACAATATATTTATCTGTATTTTATAGTTTCAGAGTATCTTGTGCTACTGTAATAATCATGGTTATTTGCATGGAATTTTAAAATCTACTAGACAACCCATGATCCTTTGGATCATCTTTTCAAAGATCCTTATCAGATCCCTCAATACCTTCAACAGTGGCAGAGCTTCTAATGTACTTGAAAAATTCTTAATAATTCAGGAAGATATTTAGAGATGTATCTAGCTTGAAAGTAGCCCGTGTTGAACTGTATAGTGCAGTCAAACATCAGGAGTTCACCACAAGAAATGTTTTATGACATTTTGTATAGCCATAAAATGCTTTATGATAATTTTTATCACAAAATGTTTTTTTAAAAAATGACAAATTTCAATCCCATAAGAGTCATGGGTCCCAGATTTTGGATGTATTCTGTAAGGTAGTCCATTTGAGGTTGCTTGGTTCCAAAAGATTTGCCCTATCATGCACCATTTTGTCAAGGTAAGGGTTACAGATCTGAGAGCTTTAGATATAGTTATCCTGCTAGGAAAAATGGATATTGTACAATTTACAAAACTCAGTTAACAATACAAATAACAGCAAAGTTGGAAATTGTTGTGTCCTTGGAAGGACACTGTGCTGAAATCAATAAAGCTTATTTCTCGTTGCTGTAAAACCATTATATGAATTCATGATCTTTAGACATTCAGCTTTCCTATGGCAATCTGAATCAATTGAATCTCCTTCCCTTTCTCTTCCACCCAAAACTAACCCCCACCACATTCCCAACAAATTCCAATTGTTGCTAAAACAAACTTTGTTAAATATGTATACAAAAGGACCCAATGACTTAACTGGGATTCTGAGTTTTTTTGTTCTTCATTTTGGCTTACTAATACCATTGTTGGGAAAATAATTTGTCTGAAACAGCTTTCCCTAGCATAGTGCCTTCCAGCTGTATTAGGACTATAGCCCCCATCATTCCCAGCCAATATGGTCATCAGCTGCTTTAATAGACCAGTGCTAGACCCACACTCACAAAAACCACACAGGATGTCACCACCACACATCCACGCAAAAAACAAACCCAAAGCCACACCGATGACGAGGCATGACCACAAACCAGAAACCAGACCATAGCTGCATCATTAGCCACTTTAAACCTGTCAGAATCCAATCATATTTCATCTTTAATTATCAAATATAGAAACTCCCAATTCTGCCTTCTTTGGATTCTGCCATAAGAGGGAGAGAAGGGGGAGAACAAAGGGGCTTTATGGCCCTCACTTCCTTCAGTAGACTTCAAAGAGCTGAATGCTGAATGTGTGTTTATTGTAACCTATTGTAACCTCAAAGCGTTAGCAACAGAGACCATTAGCATTAACAAAGAAGAGTATTTGCCTTTCATGTAGTTATCTGAAGTCTCCATCCAGACGGAAGAAAGAAGAAACGGGGTGGAATTGTGATACTTGAAACTATCACTGGAAGGGGGGTTGATTGGGTGGGACTACTGGGGAACCCCTTAAAACCTTGAATGGGAGAGCTTGGACCCCAAGTCCTGTCTAGCATGCCTGCAACCATTTTCTCTTAATAAAGGATTCCTGTGGGAAGAATTATTCCAAGAGTTCTGTCTTCTTAAGATGCAAAGTGGGGTGGGTCCTTACATTAGACAGGACTTGCAAAATTAATCCACCTGGAAGGAAGACCCTTGCCGGGGGATTTTGCAAAAATTTACCATGTCAGACAATGGAGCAAGAGAGGGGGAAAACTCCCTGGAAAGAGAGCCGCTGACCAGTTGGAACCTTGCCAGATGTTGGGATCTGAGAGGTCAGATTCCAGGAGAAGAAGTGGTGGAGACACAGGACCACAAGCTCGCTGGTCGATGAACGTTGGAAAGAAAAGTGAGTGGAGAAAGGAATCAAGAAAGGTGACCCTGAGACGGGGGACCAAGCAACCAGAATGGAAGCAGGAGATGGAGAAATCCCTGCACGCAAGTGAAGAGGGAGGAAGCTGGGTACCGTACTCAGACTGGATCCTAGAGAAAGCTATTGACCTGATGAAGAGAACTCTCAGCTCCCTAGGAGAGGAGAATACTGAACCCTACGGCTGCCCCAGTTCCTGGAGCCGCAAAGGGAGAGACACCGAGGGGAACGTGGAACCTGCAACCCCAGGGACATCTACTGATCCAGGAGCTCCCACCCCCTACCGGACCACAGATGGCAATCTGGACGGAAGGCACTACCACCCACAACAGAGGCACCGATCCATTCCAAGACGTCCACCGTTGGAAGTGAAATTCAAAGGGGAGCCAACACGCTTGGGGTTTTTTCTAACCCAAGTCCTCAGCTACATGGAGGAATATGGGCAGGATATTCCCAGCGACAAAGCCCGCATCCGGATCGTGCAATCTGCCCTGGATGGACCAGCTGCGGATTGGGTAGTGAAATTGCATGACTCCAATGCCCCAGAACTCAGTAACTTCAACCGTTTCATGTCCTCTTTGAGAAGACGATTTGAAGACCCCCTGGCTGATCGCAAAGCCCGTGAAAGAATAACAACGATGAGGCAGGGCAAACGCCCAGTGGCTGAGTCTACACAAGAATTTCGGGCCATTGCCAGCAAACTGAATTGGCCAGAAGACATCCTCCTTGGCCATTTCAAAGACGGACTAAACTATGATCTATATGATGCGTGCCTGCCCCGAGGGGACCCACATCGACTTGAGGAATGGTACGTCTTGGCAGAGGAAGCAGAGATCGACATATTGAAGAGGCACCGCCGAAGAAAACAATGGAGCCGCCCCCGCCTGAGCTGACACACCAACCGGTGAAATCATCGGATACAGCCAAGAAGCAGATGGGGTGTTTCAAGTGCGGAAGAGAAGGGCATCGAGCTGTAGAATGCCGCTAAAGGCCCCCCAGCACAACCCAGACAGATCCCCAATCAACAAACCCAGAGGGTATTCAGCTAAGCCAAAAGAAACAGCCATGAAAATGATGGAAATTGCAGAAACCCCCACCTCTGCTCACCAAGGGGAAAGAACTCCAGCCTACACCACAGGGACGGTGGATGCCTCAGATGACAGCTCGGAGGGCGAACCCCTGGTAAGTGGATGCATCACACCCATCTTCAAAACAGTGACTATATTAATCCCCCCCATGCCCGAAGCTGTGAAGGTGAAAGCCTTAATAGACTCTGGCTGCATCCGCTGCCTCATTAGCCCAACACTAGTGGGGAATCTGGGCATCCCATCCAGGAGACTGGAACAACCAATCTCATTTGGCCAGCTAGATGGATCCATAGCAGGGAGGGTGCCAGCTACCCTAGCCACTCTGCCAATACACCTCTCCCTGGGCAACCATGAAGAGGACTTAACGTTTGTGGTGACCCCAGGTATGGAATGCCCAATGATTCTAGGGATGGAATGGTTGAAAAAATGGAACCCCTGGGTAAATTGGAGGACGACAGAAATCAAATTCCCGAAGGGGGACCCTATGGACTTAAAACCCCAAGGGAGGCTACCAGAATCAAGAATAGAAAAAGCATCCATAGGAGAGGAAAAAAGATTAACAGAAATACCAGAGGAATATAGGGACCTTGCTGAAGTCTTCAGTGAGGAGAGGGCGAATGAGCTTCCCCCCCACCGACCCACAGACTGTACCATTGAATTCAAGCCTGGGGCAAAACTCCGAAGCCCAGATTATTACTCCATGAGCCCAAAGGAGAAGGAGGAAATGGAAAGTTTATAAAAAAAAACCTGGAGAGAGGTTTCATTGAGCCAGCCAAGCGCTATAAAGTGCTGCCCCAGTCCTTTTTAGAGAGAAGAAGAAGGATGGCCCTCTTTACGTTTATGCGTGGATTATAGGCCCTGAATACAATCAGTGAAAGCAACCTATACCGCTGCCCCTCATGAAAGACATGCTGTCACACCTATCGAAAGGGAAAATTTTTTCTAAACTAGACCTAAGGGAAGCTTACTATCGAGTGAGAATCAAGGAAGGGGACGAATGGAAGACTGCATTTAACTGCCCCATGGGGTGCTATCAATTCAAAGTCTTGCCATTTGGATTACAAGGGGGCCCTGCAGTCTTTATGCAATTAATCAATGACGTTCTAAGGGAGCACCTATTTAAGGGGGTCCTTGTTTACTTGGACGACATTCTTATCTTTACTGAAACAAAAGAAGAACACGTCAAACTTGTCAGAGCGGTTTTAAAGAAGCTGCGAGCCGCTCACCTA